TTCTTACTCATTAACATTTCTTCTTTCAGTTTGAAGTACTTCTTGTAGGACATGTCTGGTAGAGATATATTCTTGGCTTTTTTTTTTTTTTTTTTTGGCCTGGGAATGTCTTTGTCTCTTTCATTTCTAAAGATAGCTTTGCTGGATAGTGTCTTGATTGTCAGTTTATTTTTCCCCCGTTAGTATTATTAAAATCTCATGTGACCGTCATGGCTTATAAGGTTTCTGCTAAGTCTGCTGTCAGGTGAGTTGGGAGTCTCTTATGTATTGCTTCTCTTACTGCATTGATAACCTTTGAGAGCCTGCTTATAATATGTCTTTGGGTAGATTTGGTGGAATTGAATCTGACTGGTGAACTTTGATGCTGTCCCAAAGTTACCATAAGCTTTTTTTATTCTTTAAAAAGTTTTCTCCTCCAACTGTGTGTTTTCAAATCCCTGACTTTGAGCTCACTAATTCTTTTCAGTCTGTTCTGCTGTAGATGCCTTTTATCATGTTTATGATTTTGTTTAGTGTATTTTTCATCTCAAAAGATTTTTTAAAAGTTGTCTCTAAGTCTTTGTAGAGATTTTCTGTTAGAGTACTGATTCATTTCTCTGTTTTCTTGAAGCTCACTGAGTTTCCTTAAGACAGCTGTTTTAAATTCTCCATCTGAGAGTTTGTTCATAACAATATAGTCAGTTTCTGGTGCCTTATTTTGACTGTTAGGTGAGAACATGGTTCCCTGAAATTTCTTGATGCTTATTGGTATGTGACATGATCTGTGCTCTGAAAGATTAAGTCTTTGTAAACTGGCTTTGTTTGTGCCTGACTTTCCAGAAATTCTGAGAAGGTTGCTTATTTTCTGAGCCTAAATTTACTTATATTTCAGCACTAGATTGTGTGCAAAGTCTGGGTTTGTTGGTGTGTTGTTACTATTTCAGTACTAGAGGATCATCCAAGCCAAGTTTGGTCTTAGATACATAGTTGTTGTGTTGTTTGGCATGAACTGGAAGGGTACCTAAACAGGGAAGTCTGTCCCTGCAAGCTGCTTCCTGAGGTCAAGGTAGGTGCCTTGTCTATGATCATTGACATGTGTACAGGCACTCTAGGATTCTCCTTAACTCTGGGTAGAATCACCACAGAGAGACCAAGTCTAGGCATTCCATGCCTCTAGACCCACAGCCCCTGAAACCAGTGCAGCTGGCTAGAACAGATGTCTGTTAGACTTGGACCACATCTCCACCTGGCATCAGGGCTGTTGTAGAGGCTCCATTAAGTGGACACTGGCCTGATGATGGTGCCATTAAGATCTTGCCAATGTTAGTTTCACCAGCCTGGCACTGAGTTCTAAGGCAAAATCCTGTACTTACTATTTTGTCCTACCCCCAGTTACTTGAGTTTTTGTATATGCTGTGCTGATGAAGGTTGGGTTAGTGTAGGTACCTAGAGGGTAAACCCAAATCTGGGTTGCACTTAAGTCTCACGGCACAAGGAACTGCATAGTCTTGGGTGTACCAGAGCTTATGCCGCAGCTCTCAGTGATGCAGGCCAAGATACTAGCTTATCCTGTCAGAGTGCAGGTCTCTGCCTGGCTCAGGGCAGGTCAAGAAGCTCCATTCGTGACACTGGCCTGGGGATAGCTATGAGTTGGGGGACGGGTGGTAGAGATAGTTCCTTGGCCGCCAAGGTTTTTGCTAAGCTGGGTTGTACCTGGGTCTTAGAGTGTAGGGATCTGTGCAGTCTTGGGAGTAGGAGGGGCAGAGAGAGATGTCAAAGAAAGCTTCTTGGAGATGATTCATGAACTAAATATTAACAGATGAATAAAATAAAAGTTAGCTGGGGGAGGAAGCCCCCCAATCCTATTGCAAGGCTGGTAGTGATGCAAGCTGAAGCAGGAGTCTATTCCACTGGTATACCTGCTGCTGGGGAAAATCCAAAGGTTATGTCTGTGAGCTTTGGCCTGGGTATTAGGGCTTCTGTTTTCTACTTGGTACAGGGTCTCACTGTGGTGGGCTTGCACTGAACTCCTCGGCCAAGTCCTGGGCTCACTTTCCTGCCCTGCTTCCCAGTGGGTGAGGCTTGGATCCCCTCTGCTGCCTGAAGATGGGATTGGGGTGCTGGAAGCCAGGCAGCCAAGGGGGTTGGCAAACATGATTCCACAGGCTTGATTTGGATACTAGCCTGGTGGGGAGGGGTCACAAGCTCTGCCCTGCGCTGGGTTTTATCATGGTGGGGTTGATAATGAGGTTCAAGTCTAAGGCCTTGATTTAACTCCTTCTCTCCCAAGTAGGAGGCGTCTCTGTCCACACTGTGTTGATTACAGTTGGAGAGGGACGATGTGGTCAACTCTTACCTTCCTGCATTTGTCAGTGTATCTTTTGTTATTATTATAATGAAACCAGGCACTCTGGTCCCTTGCCTAGTTGCAGCTCTTGTGAAGGTAGCTTGGTGAGTGAATAGCTATTCAACTCGGTGTATCTGTGAGGACGACCACTGGAGGCTTGTACTCAACTGCATCTTCTTCTGTTTTCCCTCATTCTTTAATACTCAACTCATGAGTCTCCCCAAGAAGCTTTCTTTGACATCTCTCCCTATGTCCCTTTCTGTCATGTAAGACCAAGGAATGGAGTATGTAGTCCATCAATCCAGTCTGCTTTATTACTGCCATGCTTTAACTGTGCTGCACAGTAAAGTCAATCATTATTTCACATTTGTATTCCTGGGATCTGACCCCAAGGGCCTGGTTGACAAGTTTGTTGGACATGTTGATGCTTCCATTTGCCAGGTTGGGCCAGGATTGTGGGAAACAGGGCTACAAAGATGAAAGGCAATTTCCCTCATTGTGCCTGTTATTCAGGGTTTCTTTCTCAAATGATTGATTATCTTCTATTATGGTGTCTGTTCTCCACAACCATGAGATAACAGAACCGGTGTCATCACCTCCATTAGAGAAGCTCAAAGAAATTGAAGGATTTAAATGACTTGCTTGAGTTGCAGAGTTGGAGCCACAATTCTTCTTCTTTTTTTTTTTTTGCAGGTCTAGATCATTTCTTTTTTAAGTCACATGAATAAATGGGTGAATATCAGAAATTGGGGAGTAGGGGAATAATTAAAAGCAGGTAAATGGGTTTTAGATGAAACAAATAGGGAAAAAAGCAGTTAGGTGAGACAAATGAATGGATTGGCACAATGATCCTATTTGTATTCTCATGTTTATTAGACATGGTCACATGTCTTACTCCATTTCCTAACCAAAGAGTCTTCCATAAACATTTGTTTCAATTTCCCGTATATACCAAGCATCATGCTAAATAAACTAATAGAGGGATGAATAAAACTGAAGAAGATCACAGAGGAGTGAGGACACCAATATAAATCAACCATTCAGTGGGATGGGCACATTATCAAGTACTGAGAATAGATGGGCTCATGGAGGTGGTGGCTCGTGGAGGAGAGCAGCATTTAACTCCTTTTTGCACATACAGGAGAATGTTTCTAGCTTTCATGTCTAGGGCGGAAGCATGTTTTAGCGTTCACTTCACAGCTTTGTCTTGATTTACTGTATTTATTGCAGAGATAATGATAACTCATATACCTGTGTAGAAACCTTCTGAAGATGTATTGTTTTAAAGTGCCAGCCTCAAGTGTATAGGCGGCCGTGTTGCACAGATTTTGGCCCAAGGTTTGTGTGTAAAGATGTTTGGGGCTACCACTCCCGTAGCTTCTTGTTGGGCCAAAGGGCCATAGGAAGAGTCTTTTTCTCCCTCTGACTCCACTCTCACCCTTATTCAGGCTACAGTTAGCTCTCCCTGAAATGCATGCATTTTTGCCTCCGGTTAAGTCATCACAGCATTGAGAAGTTTAATCTTCCTAATATTATTTTCCCTTCTTTTATCAAAAATCTTTCAAACACTTCCCCCTTTTCCTTACAGAAGGGAGAAAATCCTTAATATTTCCTATGAAGCTCTTTATTACCTGACTCTATTTTCTGGTGTTATAAAGATGCCTGGTACATGGAAACACATAAATGTTTGCTGCTATTCCTCTGCTTTTGGTTTCATTATTTCGCTGCTCTTTCTCATATTTGGAAGGCATCACATTCTCATTCCCTCTCAGGTAGGGTTTGTGTGTTTTCCTTTGGCAGCCCCCTTCATTTCAGTACCTGGTACTCATCTTTCCTGAAGTCCCTGTGTGCTTCCATAGTGCTGGGCTTGCCACAGCACTCACACACTGTGCTCTTGGTTAGTTATGTGTAACCATTTATCTAATTGTCTTCCCATTAGGTAATGATAACGTCTAGGACCTGGCCTAGTTCATTTCTGTACCTCTAGCTCTCAGTTGACAAATGCCTGCCAGTAAAATAATTAGAAGGATGTTCAGATTAGAAGTACTTAAATTTCCTTCCTTAGACCTGTGGCCCCTCACTTAGCTGCCAAGTTCAGCCTAAGGCACCTGAATACACAAATGTTCACCGATTTCAGCAGTCTACTTGATGAAAAATGACTTGCCTTAGGTAGAGGAGGGTTAGCTGTCCATGGAGCAAATCTCAGAAATTTATCATTATTGGTGGTCACCATAAGCAAGCAATAGAAACATTTGATAAATTCTCCCTTTATTATAAACACTTTATAGGTATTAAAAACTTTTAAAAAGTTTATATTTCTTCCCTTTATCAATTCTTAATGTTATATAAAGATAGTCTATTAATAAAAGCCCCATTGCTGGCTTATCAAATGACTTATGAGTAAAATATAATTGATGCATATAAACATGTGCTCCTTCCTTTTATTTGTTTCCTTTCTGAACTAAGATTTGCGACCCTTATGTAGTTTGGATTTGGTTTGTATTGAAGTAAGTCTTTAAATCTTAAATGTGTATTCTGCTATGTTTGGGGTTTTGGTTATGATTTTCTTTTATATAATGCTGGGTAAGGAAAACACTGTCTTAAAATGCAAAATAACTTCTGTAAAAATGTAACAATTCTGACCTTTCTAAGAATGAATTTAATTATATTCTAGCACAACAACTTCTCTGGGGATATTCAGGTAGGCTAATTGACTGAATGTTGTGTTCATTTGAAGCCTGATGTTTTTGTTCATTTGGTTTGTTGAATCATGTTTTTTTTTTACTTACCTAAGTAGTTAGAAGGTTTTTTTAAATCTATCTATATATGTATACATCAATTTTTTTTGGTCTGGTTGTAATAACTGTTAAAGGAGAGAGGAAACTACTAATACTGGCGTTTGTTATTACAAATGCTATAATGAGACCATATTTGAATGACTTGGAAACATTCATCTCATAGAACATTTAGTCTCTAAGGAGACAAACTTGTAAAGTTTGTGTTTTTAACTTGTATTGTAAGCTGGGCATTTAATGGAAAAGGGTAATAGTAAATGTACCTTTGTTGTAGGATACCCACAAATATTCAGATGAACGGTATTGAGGGGAGTGAGTGCCAGGACCCAGGACTAGCAAGTTAGAGGTCTTATGATGAACTGTTGGGAGTTAGTGGCCATCCAGCTTTATATTAGGTTCAGTCTGCTGGGTGTTGTTATAAAGCCTCCTGTGCCATTTTACTGACTGTCTTTTTAAAAATAAAAACCTTTGACTTGACTTGTATTATTTTTCCTAAGTTCATTTTTCACTAGGAAATTTAGAGGGGTGAGGATTTCCTTTATAGAAATTGTTTTTATGATAAACCTTATTCTCTGAAACACGCCGTACATAAATAAAATTAGTCTAGGAACCAAGTCATTATTACACTGATAATATACACCAGTGTTTAATTTGGCTTCTAACTTACATTAAAAGTACCCATCTCACAGCTACTATTACAAAATTTTTCTTAAAGCATTATCGGTCTTATATTTTGGAAGGTGTAATCAGGTCAAAGGAAAACAAAATCTTGACATAAGCAAGCTGCATAATTAATACTTGTCCTAGGGACCATTAAGTTAGTGATTCTTTACCTGTTTTCCCACCTCCCATTCACTTCCAATGCCAGGAAGTGAATGTCAGTGTCAGTGCTGATTTGGGTAAGCAGTTTGGTCGTGGGGGCTAATTTTGAGCCCTTGGCCTGCTCCACTTGGGAGCAGTATGTTTCTGCTGACCCTGGCACCTGCAGCGCCACTGCTAGACTTGTGGTGTGCCAGAAGGGTCACAGTTGGCTGACAGGCTGCCTTTTCCTCCCTTTTCTGTTCAAACTTTTCTTCTTCCCTACTTTCTCTTTTCTTTTTCTGTTTTGTTTCTTTGAAGATTTGACTGATGTATAGCACATAATTTATTTGGAGTTTCACTGTATCACATAGGTATTCACAAAGAGACTTGAATCTCTCTACACAGTGGAAAGAAGGTTATTAGAACTCATCAGCCATCAAAGCTGCCATTGCCAGTTTGTGTACCCAAAAAGTATAAAGAACTGTCACTGTTCTTGGAAACTTGAATCAGAATAGCTAGTTGGGTGTGACTCTGAAGGAGTGTGGTCCAATGTATTAAACTCCCTGTTAATTAAAGCCATCAGGGTGCTCACTTCGGCAGCACATATACTAAATAAAGCCATCAGGACTGATTTTTCTTAGTTAAGTAAATTTTTAAATAGAGTGTAGTATTTTCAACAATGTTGAACCCATCCTCAAGGTTAGCACTAAACATAAACATATAAATAATTAAAAACAGCACAGTCTGAATAGAGATTCATTGTGTTGATAGTACTGTTTTTTTTTTTTTTAAACATATAAGGGATTGACTCATCTATTGCAAAGCAAAAACTGCTCATGGGAGGAGTTCCTTCCAAGTTAAATGATCATACCTGGTAGCAGTTTAGCTAAAACCTTTCTGTCCTGAGGAACAATGTCAGTACCACAGTTGACCGCTTTTGACATTGCTGATAATCAGTAAGGCCACAAACCCCCACAAGTCATTTATCAAAATTTCTAAAATTAGTTTGCTAATCCTGTTAGAGGTGCTTCAGTGATGTTCTAACATTGGACGTGGAGATTAAAAATTAAATGTTTTTAATACAGAGTAGATAGAACTCAGGACTTGAGATTAAATTAATTTAAAATACTTAGAACTGTGTCTTCCCACATTTTCTCTCTCCTTTATTTTCTATCATGTTTTCTTCAGTTGAGCATGACTGGTGTGTTAGTTGCATGCCATCTGTAGTGTGTGTGTTTGAGTGTTTTATCTTAAAGCTAAGTCTTGAATGTAGGTATGTGTTTTATAAATTGCCAGGGACACCATGCAGGACCATCTACAGGATGCATGCTGTGTGGCAGTTAACACAGACATAAGCACCCTGGTGCATATTCAACTTTTTGGTTTCCGAATGCTCTGAATTTTAATTTCTGACTCTTCTTTAGATCTTTGGTATTCTGTCTTTGCTTTACTTATGAGTTGGAGCTTCTGTTATAGTTAATACAATTCAGTAAGCATTTTGTGAACAATGTTGTAAAATTATATTTTGATGGGATTCATAGACCAAAGAAGCTACTCTGATCATACTGATGACAAGATTTAAAAAAATTTTAAATATTATTTCATTTACCCTAAATCACATAATGTAGAAACTGAAAATATTCTTGAATCTGGGTATTTTCACCTTCCTACAGTTGCAAAAGTGTGCCTTTGCTTAAATTTCTTTGGCAGGTAATTTTGAAATGTCTGACTGTGACATGAAATAACGGGGTCTTTCCTCAGATAAAAAATAATGAAGTTTGTCCTGTTATAATATTTTCCAAAGTTGCTCCTTTAAGTGTCTAGAAGTCATTGGTACATAGGGAAAAACTTAATGTTAGTTTCCACAGAATTGAATTTGAGGTGCTTTTATTTCCACATCTGGGCAAATACAGACCTACAGGTGTGTATTGTTATTTTTTCATCTTGTTCCTACTGATATTGTAAATATTTTAATTACTTTGTGCTCTGAAGCATAAAATATACTTAGAAGAAGATGTTAATTTCTAGACCAGTGGTTGAAATAAGTAACCCTCCCTTCCAAAAAAATTTGTTTTTCTTAGTCTTTTAGTAAATATACAAACATCCAGAAGTAGAGTGAGCTGTTCTGGTGGGAGAATGTTCTTGCCTTATGGCAATACCCCACTTACTCCCTTTGCTTGTCCCTGAGCATTTCTGCAGAATTCCAGGGCTTTGTAGAGCATGCTTCAATAAGTAATAAGCGCTAAGTAGCTGGGAATAAGCCTTGTTGGAAAAGTGTAACTATACTTCATATTTGGCATCAATATAATCTTTGGTACTTAGAACCTCAGCCCCATTGTTTTTCCAGATGAGAGAGTTCAAGGCCCTGAAAGATTAAGTGGCACCTAATTACACATTGGTGAGTAGCCAAAAGGAAATCATGAGGCTCCTTCCTGTGCCCAGCTTTGGAAGGTGTTAGTCAGTGAGATGGAGATCCAAGCCTCTGGGGTCTGACTTCACCCTTTCTCTAGCCATGCAGCTATGAGGGGCCACATAAAACCACATTTTTATTGGGTTTGCTTTATCATTTGTCACCCTTTAAGGGTAAAGTACTTATGAAGTTTATCAGCATTCTCTGTTACTTTTATTTGTGGACAAATAAAAGCATTAAATACTTTTCCATTTTGATTTCATTTGCAGAACACTGTAGGATACTTTGAAAAACACATTTAATGCATTTTTATGTATTTACTTAAAAGAAGCACTTTTTAGAGAAAGTGTCTCTCATATGTTATTATAAGTACAGATTTTTGTATAGATTATCATTTAAAAATAGTTTAAGCCCAGTTATGCTGAAATTTTGTATTTATTTAAAACTCATAAGACAGCTTTCTAATACTGTCATATCTGTGAGAACAGAAGGCTATTACAGTAGAATTGTGTGTGTTATAACATTTCTGTGTATGATTTACAGGAAGACCATGTACTCAGCTGCAGCTTCTCAATCCAGAACGATTTGCTCGTCTTATTAAAGAAGTAATGAATGCATTCTGGCCTGGCAGAGAGTTAATTGTTCAGTGGTATCCTTTCAGTGAAGACAGAAATCATCCATCTGTTTCATGGCTTAAGATGGTTTGGAAGAATCTCTATATACATTTTTCAGAGGACCTGACTTTATTTGATGAGATGCCCCTCATCCCCAGAACTACACTAGACGAAGGTCAGACATGTGTGGAACTCGTTAGACTCAGGATTCCGTCAGTAGTCATTTTAGACGATGAAACTGAAGCACAACTTCCAGAATTTTTAGCCGACATTGTACAAAAACTTGGGGGGATTGTCCTGAAAAAATTAGATGCCTCGATACAACATCCTCTCATTAAGAAATACATTCATTCACCAATGCCAAGTGCTATTTTACAGATTATGGAGAAGATACCGTTGCAGAAACTGTGTAATCAGATAGCCTCACTACTTCCAACACACAAAGATGCTCTGAGGAAGTTCTTGGCTAGCTTAACTGATAGCAGTGAAAAGGAGAAAAGAATAATTCAAGAGCTGACAATATTCAAACGAATTAACCACTCACCTGATCAGGGAATTTCTTCTTACACAAAATTAAAAGGTTGTAAGGTCTTGCACCATACCGCCAAACTTCCACCAGATCTGCGACTTTCTATTTCAGTAATAGACAGTAGTGATGAAGCTACCATTCGTTTGGCAAACATGTTGAAAATCGAGAAATTAAAGACTACCAGCTGCTTAAACCTTGTTTTAAAAGATATGGAAAATGCATTTTATTCACATGAAGAAGTAACACACATTATGTTATGGATTCTTGAGAATCTGTCTTCTCTTAAAAGTGAGAATCCACATGTGCTTGATTGGTTAGTGCCATTAAAATGCATTCAGATTTCACAGGGACAGATGGTGTCAGCTAGTGAACTCTTCGATCCTGATGTAGCAGTACTAAAGGATCTCTTTTATAATGAAGAAGAAGCCTGTTTCCCACCCTCAGTTTTTACCTCACCAGATATCCTTCACTCTTTGAGACAGATTGGCTTAAAAAATGAAGCCAGTCTCAAAGAGAAAGATGTTGTGCAAGTAGCGAAAAAAATTGAAGCTTTACAGGTCAGTTCTTGTCCAAATCAGGATGTTTTCCTAAAGAAAGCCCAAACTCTCTTACTGGTTTTAAATAAGAATCCTACACTCTTGCAGTCTTCTGAAGGAAAGGTGACATTAAAGAAAATAAAATGGGTTCCAGCCTGCAAGGAAAGGCCTCCAAATTATCCAGGTTCTTTAGTCTGGAAAGGAGATTGCTGTAATCTCTGTGCACCTCCAGATATGTGCGATGCAACCCATGCAATTCTAGTGGGCTCATCACTTCCCCTTGTTCAAAGTATCAATGTAAACTTGGAAAAAGCATTAGGTATCTTCACAAAACCTAGCATTGGTGCTGTCTTAAAACACTTTAAAATTGTTGTTGATTGGTATACTTCAAAAACCTTTAGTGATGAAGACTACTATCAATTCCAACATATTTTGCTTGAAATTTATGGATTCATGCATGATCATTTGAATGAAGGGAAAGATTCTTTTCAGGCCTTAACGTTTCCATGGGTTTGGACTGGCAAAAAATTTTGTCCTCTTGCCCAAGCTGTAATAAAACCAATCCATGATCTGGACCTTCAGCCTTACTTACATAATGTGCCTAAAACCATGGCAAAATTTCACCAACTGTTTAAGGCCTGTGGTTCAATAGAAGAGTTGACATCAGATCATATTTCCATGGTCATTCAGAAGGTGTATCTCAAAAGTGACCAAGATCTCAGTGAACAAGAAAGCAAACAAAACCTTCATCTTATGTTGAATATTATCAGATGGCTATATAGCAACCAAATTCCAGCAAGCCCTAATACACCAGTTCCTATACATCATAGCAAAAATCCTTCTAAACTTATCATGAAGCCAATTCATGAATGCTGTTATTGTGACATCAAAGTTGATGACCTCAATGACCTACTTGAAGATTCAGTGGAACCAATTATTTTGGTGCATGAGGACATACCCATGAAAACTGCAGAGTGGCTGAAAGTTCCATGCCTTAGTACAAGATTGATCAATCCTGAAAACATGGGATTTGAGCAGTCAGGACAAAGAGAACCACTTACTGTAAGAATTAAAAACATTCTGGAAGAATACCCTTCCGTGTCAGATATTTTTAAAGAGCTACTTCAAAATGCTGATGATGCAAATGCAACAGAATGCAGCTTCATGATTGATATGAGGCGAAATATGGACATAAGAGAGAATCTCCTAGACCCGGGGATGGCAGCTTGCCATGGACCTGCTTTGTGGTCATTCAATAATTCTGAATTCTCAGATTCAGATTTTGTGAACATAACCAGGTTAGGCGAATCTTTAAAAAGGGGAGAAGTTGACAAAGTTGGAAAATTTGGTCTTGGATTTAATTCTGTGTATCATATCACTGACATTCCCATCATCATGAGCCGAGAATTCATGATAATGTTTGATCCAAACATAAACCATATCAGTAAACACATTAAAGATAAATCTAATCCTGGGATCAAAATTAACTGGAGTAAGCAACAGAAAAGACTTAGGAAGTTTCCTAATCAGTTCAAACCATTTATAGACATATTTGGCTGCCAGTTACCTTTGACTGTGGAAGCACCCTACAGCTACAATGGAACTCTTTTCCGACTATCCTTTAGGACTCAGCAGGAAGCCAAAGTGAGTGAGGTTAGCAGTACCTGCTATAATACTGCAGACATTTACTCTCTTGTGGATGAGTTTAGTCTCTGTGGACACAGACTTATCATTTTCACTCAGAGTGTGAACTCAATGTATTTAAAATATTTGAAGATTGAGGAAACCAATCCTAGCTTAGCTCAAGATACGATAATAATTAGGAAAAAACCCTGCTCTTCCAAAGCATTGAATGCACCTGTTTTAAGTGTTTTAAAAGAAGCTGCTGAACTCATGAAGACTTGCAGCAGCAGTAATAAAAAGCTTCCCACCGATGCACCAAAGTCATCTTGCATTCTTCAGATCACAGTCGAGGAATTTCACCATGTGTTCAGAAGGATTGCCGATTTGCAGTCACCACTGTTCCGAGGTCCAGATGACGACCCTGCTGTTCTCTTTGAAATGGCTAAGTCCAAAAAGCCATCAGATGAGTTGCCACAAAAAACTCTAGATTCTACCACATGGCTTATATGTACCTGTATGGATATAGGAGAGGCTCTCAAGTTTTCCTTGAGCGAAAGTGGGAGAAGACTAGGGCTGGTTCCTTGTGGGGCGGTAGGAGTTCTGCTGTCTGAAGTCCAGGACCAGAAGTGGACCGTGAAACCACACACTGGAGAGGTATTTTGCTATTTACCTTTGCGAATAAAAACAGGATTGCCAGTTCATATCAATGGGTGCTTTGCTGTTACTTCAAATAGAAAAGAAATCTGGAAGACAGATACAAAAGGACGATGGAATACCACATTCATGAGACATGTTATTGTGAAAGCGTACTTACAGGCACTCAGTGTCTTGCGGGACCTGGCCACTGGTGGGGAGCTAACTGATTATACTTACTATGCTGCGTGGCCTGATCCTGACTTAGTTCACGATGACTTCTCCGTAATTTGTCAAGGATTTTATGAAGATATAGCTCATGGAAAAGGGAAGGACTTGACCAGAGTCTTCTCTGATGGGTCCACTTGGGTTTCCATGAAGAATGTGAGATTTCTAGATGACTCTATACTTCAAAGAAGAGATGTTGGACCAGCAGCCTTCAAGATATTTCTGAAGCACCTCAAGAAGACTGGGTCCAAAAACCTTTGTGCTGTGGAACTTCCTTCTTCAGTGAAGTTGGGATTCGAAGAAGCTGGCTGCAGACAGATACTGCTTGAAAATACATTTTCAGAGAAACAGTTTTTTTCAGAAGTGTTTTTTCCAAATATTCAAGAAATTGAAGCAGAACTTAGAGATCCTTTAATGAATTATGTTCTAAATGAAAAAATTGATGAGTTCTCAGGAATTCTTCGTGTTACTCCATGTATTCCTTGCTCCTTGGAGGGGCATCCTTTGGTTTTACCATCAAGATTGATCCACCCTGAAGGACGAGTTGCAAAGTTATTTGATATTAAAGATGGACGGTTTCCTTATGGTTCTGCTCAGGATTACCTCAATCCTATTATTCTCATTAAGCTAGTTCAGTTAGGCATGGCAAAAGATGATGTTTTATGGGATGACATGCTGGAACGTGCAGAGTCAGTAGCTGAAATTAATAAAAGTGATCACATTGCTGCTTGTCTAAGAAGTAGTATCCTATTAAGTCTTATTGATGAGAAACTAAAAATAAGGGATCCTAGAGCAAAGGATTTTGCTGCAAAATATCAAACAATTCCTTTCCTTCCATTTCTGACAAAGCCAGCGGGTTTCTCTTTGGAATGGAAAGGCAACAGTTTTAAGCCTGAAACCATGTTTGCAGCAGTTGACCTCTATACAGCTGAACATCAAGATATAGTTTGTCTTTTGCAACCAATTCTCAATGAAAATTCCCATTCCTTCAGAGGTTGTGGTTCAGTGTCATTGGCTGTTAAAGAGTTTTTGGGATTACTAAAGAAACCAACAGTTGATCTGGTTATAAATCAGTTGAAACAAGTTGCAAAATCAGTTGATGATGGAATCACATTGTACCAGGAGAATATCACCAATGCTTGTTACAAGTATCTTCATGAAGCAATGATGCAAAATGAAATAACCAAGACAGCAATTATTGAGAAGTTAAAATCTTTTAGTTTCATTCTAGTTGAGAATACTTATGTTGACTCAGAAAAAGTTTCCTTTCATTTGAATTTCGAAGCAGCACCATACCTTTATCAGTTACCTAACAAGTACAAAAATAATTTCCGTGAACTTTTTGAAAGTGTGGGTGTGAGGCAGTCGTTTATGGTTGAAGATTTTGCCCTAGTTTTGGAATCTGTTGATCAAGAAAGAGGAAAAAAACAAATAACAGAAGAGAATTTTCAGCTTTGCCGACGAATAATCAGTGAAGGAATATGGAGTCTCATTCGAGAAAAGAAACAAGAATTTTGTGAGAAAAACTATGGCAAAATATTATTGCCAGATACTAATTTTGTGCTTCTCCCTGCTAAATCATTATGCTACAATGATTGTCCCTGGATAAAAGTAAAAGATACCACTGTGAAATATTGTCACGCTGATATACCTAGGGAAGTAGCTGTAAAACTAGGAGCAGTACCAAAGAGACATAAGGCGTTAGAAAGATATGCATCCAACATCTGTTTTACAACACTTGGCACAGAATTTGGACAGAAAGAAAAATTGACCAGCAGAATTAAGAGCATCCTTAATGCCTATCCTTCAGAAAAGGAGATGTTGAAAGAGCTTCTTCAAAATGCTGATGATGCTAAGGCCACAGAAATCTGCTTTGTGTTTGATCCTAGACAGCATCCAGTTGACAGGATATTTGATGATAAGTGGGCCCCATTGCAAGGGCCAGCACTGTGTGTGTATAACAACCAGCCTTTTACAGAAGATGATGTTAGAGGAATTCAGAATCTTGGAAAAGGCACCAAAGAAGGAAATCCTTGCAAAACTGGACAGTATGGAATAGGATTCAATTCTGTGTATCATATTACAGACTGCCCTTCTTTCATTTCTGGCAATGACATCCTATGCATTTTTGACCCTCATGCTAGATATGCCCCAGGAGCCACATCCATTAGTCCTGGACGCATGTTTAGAGATTTAGACACAGACTTTAGAACACAGTTCTCAGATGTTCTTGATCTTTATTTGGGAACTCACTTTAAACTGGATAATTGCACAATGTTTAGATTTCCTCTGCGCAATGCAGAAATGGCCAAAGTTTCAGAAATTTCTTCAGTTCCATCATCAGATAGAATGGTGCAGAATCTTTTGGACAAATTACGCTCAGATGGGGCAGAACTTCTAATGTTTCTTAATCACATGGAAAAAATTTCTATTTGTGAAATAGACAAGGCCACTGGAGGCCTGACTGTGCTGTATTCAGTAAAGGGCACGATCACTGATGGAGACAGGTTGAAAAGGAAGCAATTTCACGCATCTGTAATTGACAGTGTGTCTAAAAAGAGGCAGCTCAAAGACATACCAGTTCAGCAGATAACCTACACTATGGATACTGAAGACTCTGAAGGAAATCTGACTACATGGCTAATTTGCAACAGATCAGGATTTTCAAATATGGACAAAGTGTCTAAGAGTGTTATTTCAGCTCACAAGAACCAAGATATCACTCTCTTCCCACGTGGGGGCGTAGCTGCCTGCATTACCCACAACTATAAAAAGCCCCACAGGGCCTTCTGTTTTCTGCCTCTGTCTTTGGAGACAGGGTTGCCATTTCATGTGAATGGCCACTTTGCACTAGATTCAGCCCGAAGAAACCTGTGGCGTGATGACAATGGAGTTGGGGTTCGAAGTGACTGGAATAACAGCTTAATGACAGCATTGATAGCTCCTGCATATGTTGAACTGCTAACCCAGTTAAAAAAGCGGTATTTCCCTGGTTCTGACCCAACATTATCAGTTTTACAGAACACGCCTATTCATGTTGTAAAGGACACTTTAAAGAAATTTCTGTCCTTTTTCCCAGTTAACAGGCTTGATCTGCAGCCAGATTTATATTGCTTGGTGAAAGCGCTTTATAGTTGCATTCATGAAGACATGAAACGTCTTTTACCTGTTGTTCGGGCTCCAAATATTGATGGCTCTGATTTGCACTCTGCAGTCATAATTACTTGGATCAATATGTCTACTCAAAATAAGACCAGGCCATTTTTTGACAACTTATTACAGGATGAATTACAACACCTAAAAAGTGCTGATTATAATATCACAACTCGCAAAACAGTAGCAGAGAATGTCTACAGACTAAAACACCTACTTTTAGAAATTGGTTTCAACTTGGTTTATAACTGTGACGAAACTGCTAATCTTTACCACTGCCTCATAGATGCAGACATCCCTGTTAGTTACGTGACTCCTGCTGATGTGAGGGCCTTTCTGATGACGTTCTCCTCACCTGATACTAATTGCCATATTGGGAAGCTGCCTTGTCGTCTTCAGCAGACTAACCTAAAACTTTTTCATAGTTTAAAACTTTTAGTTGATTATTGTTTTAAAGATGCAGAAGAAAACGAGGTTGAAGTTGAGGGACTGCCCCTTCTTACCACGCTGGACAGTGTTTTGCAAACGTTTGATGCAAAACGACCCAAGTTTCTCACAACATACCATGAACTGATTCCATCCCGCAAAGACTTGTTTATGAATACATTATATTTGAAATATAGTAATATTTTATTGAACTGTAAAGTTGCAAAAGTGTTTGACATTTCCAGCTTTGCTGATTTGCTGTCGTCTGTGTTGCCTCGTGAATATAAGACCAAAAATTGTACAAAGTGGAAAGACAATTTTGCAAGTGAATCCTGGCTTAAGAATGCATGGCATTTTATCAGTGAATCTGTAAGTGTGAAAGAAGATCAGGAAGAAGCAAAACCAACCTTTGACATTGTTGTTGACACTCTCAAAGACTGGGCATTGCTTCCAGGGACAAAGTTCACTGTGTCAGCCAATCAGCTTGTGGTTCCTGAAGGAGATGTTCTGCTTCCTCTAAGCCTTATGCATATTGCAGTTTTTCCAAATGCCCAGAGTGATAAAGTTTTCCATGCTCTAATGAAAGCTGGCTGCATTCAGCTTGCTTTGAACAAAATCTGCTCCAAAGACAGTGTGTTTGTTCCTCTGTTGTCATGTCACACGGCAAACATAGAGAGCCCCACAAGCATCTTGAAGGCTGTACATTACATGGTCCAAACTTCAACTTTTAGAACTGAAAAATTAGTAGAAAATGACTTTGAAGCACTTTTGATGTATTTCAACTGCAATCTGAGTCACTTGATGTCCCAAGATGACATAAAAATTTTAAAGTCACTTCCATGTTACAGATCCATCAGTGGTCGCTATATGAGCATTGCCAAATTTGGATCATGCTACGTACTCACAAAAAGTATCCCCTCAGCTGAAGTGGACAGATGGACACAGTCATCATCTTCTGCATTTCTTGAAGAAAAAGCTCATTTGAAGGAACTGTATGGGGTGCTTGGTTGTGTGCCTGTGGATGATCTTGAAGTATATTTGAAACACCTCTTACCAAAAATTGAAAACCTCTCTTATGATGCAAAATTAGAGCATTTGATCTACCTTAAGAATAGATTATCAAGTATTGAGGAGTTATCAGAGATTAAGGAACAACTTTTTGAAAAACTAGAAGGTTTATTGGTCATCCATGATGCCAACAATCGACTGAAGCAAGCAAAACATTTCTACGATAGAACAGTGAGAGTTTTTGAAGTTATGCTTCCTGAAAAGTTGTTTATTCCTAAGGATTTCTTTAAAAAGCTGGAACAACTTATAAAGCCTAAAAATCAAGTTACATTTATGTCATCCTGGGTGGAGTTCTTAAGAAATATTGGACTAAAGTATGTACTTTCTCAGCAGCAGCTGCTACAGTTTGCTAAGGAAATCAGCGTAAGAGCTAATACCGAAAACTGGTCAAAAGAAACATTGCAAAATACAGTTGATATCCTCCTCCATCACATATTCCAGGAACGAATGGATCTGTTGTCTGGGAATTTTCTGAAAGAACTGTCCTTAATACCGTTTTTATGTCCTGAGCGGGCCCCTGCTGAGTACATTCGATTTCATCCTCAATACCAAGAAGTAAATGGAACACTTCCTCTTATAAAGTTCAATGGAGCACAAGTAAATCCCAAGTTCAAACAGTGTGATGTGCTCCAGCTGCTGTGGACATCCTGTCCTATTCTTCCTGAGAAAGCTACACCCTTGAGTATCAAAGAACAAGAAGGTAGTGACCTTGGTCCACAAGAGCAGCTTGAACAAGTTTTGAATATGCTTAATGTCAACCTGGACCCCCCCCTTGACAAAGTCATTAATAACTGCAGAAACATATGCAACATAACGACTTTGGATGAAGACATGGTAAAAACTAGAGCAAAGGTCTTAAGAAGCGTATATGAATTTCTCAGTGCAGAGAAAAGAGAGTTCCGTTTTCAACTGCGGGGGGTTGCCTTTGTGATGGTAGAAGATGGCTGGAAACTTCTGAAGCCTGAGGAAGTCGTAATAAACCTGGAATATGAGTCTGATTTTAAGCCTTATTTATATAAGCTGCCTTTAGAGCTTGGCACATTTCATCAGTTGTTCAAACACTTAGGTACCGAAGACATTATTTCAACCAAGCAATATGTTGAAGTGTTGAGCCGCATATTCAAAAACTCTGAAGGAAAGCAGTTAGATCCTAATGAAATGCGTACAGTTAAAAGGGTAGTTTCCGGTCTGTTCAAGAGTCTGCAGAATGAGTCCATCAAGGTGAGGAGTGATCTTGAGAATGCACGAGACCTTGTGCTCTACCTTCCCAGCCAGGACGGAAGGTTGGTTAAGTCAAGCATCTTAGTGTTTGATGATGCCCCACATTACAAAAGTAGGATCCAGGGGAATATTGGTGTGCAAATGCTAGTTGACCTCAGCCAGTGCTACCTGGGGAAAGACCACGGATTTCATACTAAGTTGATAATGCTTTTTCCTCAGAAGCTTCGGCCTCGTCTGTTGAGCAGTATACTTGAAGAGCAGTTGGATGAGGAGACCCCCAAGGTTTGTCAGTTTGGAGCACTGTGTTCCCTTCAAGGGAGACTGCAGCTGCTCTTGTCTTCCGAACAGTTCATCACAGGACTAATTAGGATCATGAAGCATGAAAATGATAATGCTTTCCTGGCCAATGAAGAAAAAGCCATAAGACTTTGCAAAGCCCTAAGAGAAGGATTAAAAGTGTCCTGTTTTGAAAAGCTTCAGACAACATTAAGAGTTAAAGGTTTTAATCCCATCCCTCACAGCAGAAGTGAGACGTTTGCTTTTCTGAAGAGATTTGGCAATGCAGTCATCTTGCTGTACATCCAGCATTCAGACAGTAAAGACATTAATTTCCTATTAGCCTTAGCAATGACCCTTAAGTCAGCAACTGACAACTTAATTTCTGACACTTCTTATCTAATTGCTATGCTGGGATGCAATGATATTTATAGGATCAGTGAGAAACTGGACAGTTTAGGGGTGAAATATGACTCTTCAGAGCCATCAAAGCTGGAACTTCCAATGCCTGGCACGCCAATACCTGCTGAAATTCATTACACTCTACTCATGGACCCAATGAATGTGTTTTATCCAGGAGAATATGTTGGGTACCTTGTGGATGCTGAAGGTGGTGATATCTATGGGTCATATCAGCCAACATACACATATGCAATTATTGTACAAGAAGTCGAAAGAGAAGATGCTGACAATTCTAGTTTTCTAGGAAAGATATATCAGATTGACATTGGTTATAGTGAATACAAAATAGTTAGCTCTCTTGATTTGTATAAGTTTTCAAGGCCTGATGAGAGCTCTCAAAGTAGAGACAGTGCCCCTTCTACACCAACCAGTCCCACAGAATTCCTTGCCCCTGGTCTGAGAAGCATTCCTCCACTTTTCTCTGGCAGAGAGAGCCACAAGACTTCGTCCTCAAAACATCATTCCCCCAAAAAGCTTAAGGTTAATTCTTTACCAGAAATCTTAAAAGAAGTGACATCAGTGGTGGAACAAGCTTGGAAGCTTCCAGAATCAGAACGGAAAAAGATTATCAGGAGGTTGTATTTGAAGTGGCATCCTGACAAAAATCCAGAGAACCATGACATTGCTAATGAAGTTTTTAAACATTTGCAGAATGAAATCAACAGATTAGAAAAACAGGCTTTTCTAGATCAAAATGCAGACAGAGCCTCAAGACGAACATTTTCAACCTCAGCGTCTCGATTTCAGTCAGACAAGTACTCATTTCAAAGATTTTATACGTCGTGGAATCAAGAAGCAACGAGCCATAAATCTGAAAGGCAACAACAAAACAAAGAAAAATGTCCTCCCTCTGCTGGACAGACTTACTCTCAGAGATTCTTTGTCCCCCCGACGTTCAAGTCCGTTGGTAATCCGGTGGAAGCACGGAGATGGTTGAGACAAGCCAGAGCAAACTTCTCAGCTGCCAGAAACGACCTTCACAAAAATGCCAACGAATGGGTGTGCTTTAAGTGCTACCTCTCTACCAAATTAGCTCTGATTGCAGCTGACTATGCTGTGAGGGGAAAGTCTGATAAGGATGTAAAGCCAACTGCACTTGCACAGAAGATAGAGGAATATAGCCAGCAACTTGAAGGGCTGACAAATGATGTTCACACCTTGGAGGCTTATGGTGTAGACAGTTTAAAAACAAGGTACCCTGATTTGCTTCCTTTCCCACAGATTCCAAATGACAGGTTCACTTCCGAGGTTGCTATGAGGGTGATGGAATGTACTGCCTGTATCATAATAAAACTTGAAAATTTCATACAACAAAAATTGTGAAAGTATTTAAAGAAAAAAAAAGCAGAGCCAGATCTTAAATGGGTTGTAGCACAAATAGGAATCGCTCTACTTTATGTAGCTGTATTGCCAGATCCTTAGGAACTGTGAAGCACATTGCAGATTGTTCTGGAAGAATTTTGGAGTTGTTATGAGTGTGCATACAAACAGAAAACCTTAACTGAATCTAAAAGAAAACAGTTTTGAAGATGGCAGTCAACTGCACAATTGCTGGATGTTTGACTGATTGGGATGGCACAATACTGGACTGCACTTTATAGCACTAAAGCTTAGCGGTTTGCTAGTCTATTTATGTCCCTGGTTAGGATGAAGTTAATTTTGTTTTGAACATGGTATTTTTGAAGGAGCTAATGGAACACTGGTCATGTCATTGGTTTTAGCATATAAGGGGAATTAAGTCTTTGGAGTTCATTTTTTTTTTTTATTTTTCAGTGGATCCTCTTGGATGCATTGGTTTCTTATCAGCTGGACCTGATTATGAACTTGTTGCAATTTCACATCTTAAATAACTCAGTACATTTCAAAAATGGTACAGTATTTTAAATCCTGACTATTACTTGATTGTGCGTATGAAGACAGTATGTAGAATGCACTGAGTGTACTCTACATCTTTCTTTTAAATGGTTTTTATACCTTATGTTTACAGGCTTCCTGTTTCATGAAGAACTCAAAGTGGTGGCAGTTTTCATTACCAGGTGTTGATATAATTTCTAAAAACTGCTCACCAGCGTGACATTTATCATTGGTTAGAGCATTGGCTTTATGTTTGCTTGTACATATTTTCCATGAATGTCATAATTTATATAGTATGGCTGATCAAGATGCAATCTTTTGTTGTCTAAAGGTGCTGCAGTAAAAAAAAAAAAAAGACTTGCCTTTCAATATGGCACTTAGTGGAAGTTGTTTATTTTACATTAAAAACACCAAAAACTTGTTAAAATCATTGTGGTGATATCCAATAGTTTATTAAAGAAGAATTAGCTTGTGTTCTCCCCATGAATGATTCAGAGCTGACATTTCATTTTCACCATGTTCAAGTGTCCACCTGTGCTTATTTAACATAATTCTTTTGCAGAATGTCAAGGAAAGGAAATAATAATTAGTTTATATAAGTGTATTGGCTATAAATGATGCTAAATAAAATATTTCATGCAATTAAGGGCTTACAGAACATGTTAAAACTTTTTTACTTCTATTGGAAATAAGGAATGTTTGCAGCTTCAACTGTATTGCTTTTGGATGTGATATCATGTCATTATTTCTGCTACTATATTAAGTGCCATGATTTTAATAAAGCAAAATGTACATATGATATCATTGTAAGTGGTATTTCTTGAGAAATAATTCATTAGAAATCAAACTTAATTTCCCCAATGTTAGGAAATTTTGGTGTGCATGTGTATGCGTTGGTAGGGTAGCATTGTCTTGTATGTTGGAACGTTTAGTTTCTTTTTCACGATTAATTGAATATAAAGTGTATGGTATGTTCTAGGTTTAGTTGATGCTCATTGATTTAGAGATCATTGCACCTTTTCGGAGATAAGGTTAGTTAACTTATGCACTGAATATATGTATTTGGAAATAGCTGCAGCAGATGTGGTCGTGCTGTAGGTTCAGGCTGAACTGATGGTTGCTTTCTCTGGGGCCAGGTGCATGTCTAGGGCTGATTCACACTTGAACCCTCACTGGTGGGAATGTTCTTCGGACCTAGGGCGCACCTCCTCTGACGTTAGGCAGATGAGGGCTTGTTCTCTGTTCTGGGGCTACCAAATTCTGAGTCTTCAACTTAATCTTAAAAAGTGCTTGCTACTTTGAAGCTCAGGTTCAGCCCTTACAGTATAATTTCATTGCTTTTCAATTAAAATTTACACAGAAAACCTGTCTCACCTCAATGACAGTTCATGCAGTCAGCGTTTTGTGTTTTTCTAAAGAAGCAATATACAGGTTCACAATCCCTTATTTGAAGCACTTGGGCTCAGCTGCTTTTGATTTTAGAAAGTTAACATGAGGGGATGTGACAGTATTAATATTATTTTGGTAGTGCTGGGGTTTGAACTCAGGACCTCACACTTGTGCCAACCCCTCAGCCCTTTTTGCTTGAGTTATTTTTTCAGATAAGGTTTTTGAGTTTTTTTGCCCAGGCCTCCTACCTGCATAGCTGGACTCATAGGTGCATGCCACTACGCCTAGCTTGTTTTATGAGATAGGGTATTGCTAATTTTTTGCCCAGGTTGTCTTTAGACTGCAATCCTTCTGTCTCTGTTTCCCAAGTAGCTGGGATTATAGTCATTCACCACCACACTGGACAAACTTAAATTTTTTTGGTGGCACTGGGGTTTTGAATTTAGGGCCTTGTGCTTGCCTAGGCAAGCACTCCACCATTTGAGCCAGAACTCCAGCCCAAGGGCACTGAATTATTTATTTATTTATTTATTTTTGCCGTACTGGGGCTTGGACTCAGGGCCTACACCTTGAGCCCACTCCACTAGCCCTTTGTTGTGAAGGGTTTTTTTGAGATAGGGTCTCACAAACTATTTGGGCGAGCATCAAACCTCGATGCTCTTGATTGCTGCCTCTTGAGTAGCTAGGATTACAGCCATGAGCCACAAGTGCCTGGCACACATTTAACTTTTTAATGAAGTCCACTCACCAGGATGGACAGTACCCTGCAGTATTTCTGCAGTAAGCCTGTGAATATACACACTGAGTTGACTGCATTCATAAAAACCATATGGGTAAAGGTAGAGGGTTAACGTTAAAATGGAGTCAACAAAACAATGGGAGGTTGTTTCTTCATGGGTCTGACAGGAATGGCAGGTTATTCTTCTTCCATTCATGCCCACTGATGCTTCCTGATTTTAATGTCATGTAGATTGCAGGCAGAATACATCAGTGGTGCTGGTAAAAAATGGAAGCCTTAGGAGATTTAATTAGTTATGTGTCACTCAGAGTTCCACAGAAAACAGCCAGTAGCAGAGATTGACTGCCAAGAACTGCCTGTGGTCCTGGGGCTGACAGGCAAGAAGCCCCAGCAGGACCTACAGCTCAAGTCTGAAGGTGGAGTTTCTTAAAATTTTGCTTCTTAAGTTTTTTTCCCCTGTTCATCTTGATATGATTTACAGTAGTGTCATTCATTCATTTAAGAAAACCACAAAACTCCTCTGTGCACTCTGCAGGCATTGTGTGTTAGATGGGCTTATTCCATCTGGTTTTAGTTGGATTTTACTTTAAAATAAAGATTGAAATGTAAAATGTGTGTGTCTTTTAGTTGGTTAGTGGTTCTGAGATGGATGTGACATTTAAGTACCTTCACTTACCCTGAATACAAAAGCCTAGTCTCTAAGAAGACAACTGAAGTCGCACTGTATTCGGCTGAAAGTATTACTCTTTGCACACGGGGCCTCACAGTCACATGCTTGACATGAGATTATTTGACTTCAGCCACACAGAGAAGATGCTGAAGCCAGTCAGAAACTGGTGTTGTTTTAATTCCGGGAAAGAAGGGGACAAAACATACATAACAGACACAAGAATCCTTGGGGTATGGGGTGTGCCTTTCAGGAGGGCTTCCCCCCACCTTCACTTGCTGTTCCCCACAGAAACAGACCTAGCAGATGGTGTGTGGGGGCAAGGAGGGACCTGCCCAGTGTGGCTCTACCCATTTCATTTCATTTGAACTTGGTGGCCTTCAGAAGAATATGCCTGGCTCTCTGTGTGGGGAGCCATGGAGGTGGGAGCCTGCCGTTCTACCAAGCAAGAGGTTAGTGTTTTGTTCAGCTCTGAAGTGTTGGGAAAGGCATTTTGCTATAAAACCACTGTCTTTACTATTAAAGCTTATGTTTTGAACTTTTTATTTTGCAATACTGGGGTTTGAAATCAAGGCCTCAAACTTACAAGGCTCCCACTTGAGCCACTCTACCAGCCCTTTTGGGGTTGGTTATTTTTGAAATAGAGTCTCGCTTTATGTCTGGTCTGGCCTGGACAGCAATTCACCTGTTTGCATTTCCTGTATAGCTGGATGGAGTGTGCCACCATGCCTGGCTTTTTCTGTTGAGATGGGATCTCGTGAATTGTTTTGCTTATTCAGGCCTCAATGCTTGATCCTCCCAATCTCAACCTCCCTCATAGCTGGGATGACAACCTTGAATCACTGCACCCAGCTAATCTTCACCTTTTTTACTCATGTACTTCTCAGTTGGCTTCTTCGGCAAAAAAATGTGTTATTTCTAAAATATTTACACTCAATAGTCTATAATCACTATTGGTATGATATGAGGCCATATATCTTGTTAGTTACACTCATCATTATGACCTTGTATTTATAATCTTGGAATGGGGCTTGGCCCATCTAAGAGTTTTGATTATAACAAAGGATAAGTTTCTTATTAGTGGAGCATGCACCCTGTCTACCACAACATCCTTCAAGATGATTCCATTTAGCAAACGAGAAGAAATGGAATTTAAACCTTTTATTTAGGTGTTCTATTCTCCATATCACTCTTTGATTCTTTTTCTTGACCTCTCTTTATCATCCTGGCACCATTTTTTGGACATGTACTGTAAGAACCGAGCTAATTTATAAGTATTCAGAGATCCTGTTTGATAATACTTGGTATAAACATGGAACAGGAGAGTAAATATGACAAAATAGCAGAATGATCTGTTACGACCATAGGCACATCACAGTAAGAAAGCAGTCAATTCAAAAATCAGAATTTAACTAGAGGAAAAGGTACATACCAATAATAATTAAAAGTACCCAGCCCCCTGTGAAACTTCAGAGGCATTATGACATTGCTCTCGATTGTTAGGAAGCATGGTTTTTATTTTGCAATTTCTTGTGTTTGTGTGTACAAGCAACTTAAAAATCATGGAGTCTTTATAAGTGGGCTATGCTGTTAAATGAACACCCTAGTAAAGCAGCCTTAGAAATAAAGATTTCCCTCCTCTTCCTCTTGATTCTGAGAAAAGAAAATGAGTTTTTCTTTTGTTAGAGTTCTAAATCCTCACCACATCTGCAGTGTTTGGGGATTCTTACTATAACACCTGGTCAAACAAAATAAGCAAATCCCATCACTCTGTGTTGGGGGCATTTTACAAAGTCAGAGAGTGACCTACACAAAACAAACCTGTTTAATAGGCTCCATGCTAGATTTCCATTGCCCTACTCAATCAATCGGCACCACACATATTTTCACAAACTTTAGGGGTGGTTCTCTCACTGCATCCAGTGTTTTGATCTGGGTAGAAGGAGGCGCACAGCAAGCAAGTTCATTTGCTCTTGGCAGGTGACAGCTCTTGGGCTTTCATTTCTTCATTTGTTAAATCAGGGTTATGTATTTATATAATTGTCATATATTTGGTATTGTGAGTGCAGCAAGAATATATCAAAGTTTTTCCAAGTGAAAATGGCTATGCAAATTTAGGATCAAATTTTGGATTAATTTCTTGTGTTACTTGCCATATCTGAGTCTTTCTTTGTCACCAGTCACTTGGGAGGAAAAAATACCTACTTCAGAGGATTGAAGGAAAGACACAAACTCTGAATTCTGAAAAAATGGAGGTTGATTTTTATTGCTTGTTGACTGTACATAGAAAGCACTGCAACCTTTGTGTTACTTAGTCTCTTAGTTACTTGTTGAAAATCAGATCAATCTCAAATTCCCTTCAAAACCTGAAGATTTTCTTGTGAAACCTGATACACTGCCTTAAACTGAAGGTTTGATAAAAGGAAGTAGTGTATAGACTTTGGGGACATTTCAGTATTGACCAAAATCCCTACTTTTGTGAGGAGTTATCCACGGTTAAAGATCATAAGTTAATTCTACACAGCAATTTAAACTTTCTTTGAACATTGACTTGTATGAGAGGTGGAGAGGGAGACTGGGAAGAGAAAACTCAGTTGAATTGTTGTGATGAAAATCAGCCACGCCAGTGGAATAAACTCACTCTCTTGACATCTCTTCGATGTTTTGTCTCACATCCACGTTTCACTGTTGGCCAAACACTGGCGCTGGCACATCTTCCTTTCTGAGGTCTTTGGAAATACATGTCTTACACGCCCCCTTCTCAGTCTTGCAGGATGTCCAGCTGCCACACAGTGTGGAAACTCAAGGCCACCACAACCCTGAACAAGGCAGGTTCTGGGGAAGAGGCAATGACTCAGTGACAGATGTGACTGTGTTCCTGACATGTGGTGTCCTCGCTGGCCACAGACAGGTACAGTTTCCCATCTGGACACACGCAAATTTCATAGAGTCCCTGTGCACTGCCAGCAGGATCCCAGGTGCCTCTCGCCAATGTGG